GCTTGAGGCCTTAGGGCCTTAGGGTGTCTAGACATCTAGGCTTCTGCTGCAAGGCAATTGAAGGGAAATGGCCACATCCTCAATCATTTGCAACGAACCGACAACGTAAAACCTGAATCACCCGAACTGTTCTTTAACATCGAACCCAGGCGCTCTGCGCTTGCTCCTCTGCGCTTGCCTGAAACTTTGAGTCCTCGCAGCAGGCTAGTCAATTCGGACTTTTGGGTAGCCGGCTTTTGCTACTGGTGCATGCGAGGGGGCTGCGCGCGGGCAACTAGTCCGAAATGACTCTTGGATACTCTTGGCGTTTCTCCGGCGAGAAGTCGAGTCGTATCAAACCGATTTCCGGCAAACCCTTTTCGCATAATTGAAGTAATCAGTCAAGGGACTTGCAAGGCAGTTTAAGAATCTGCTTGCTGTAACTTGTAGACTAAACCCAGACAACACGGGACCTCGACCCTGAAATCTTGAAGATGTTGGAGCCAAGGCACAGGCTAAACCTTTGACCCACCGTTCGCCTCAAGTCTATCTCAACATCGCAGATTCTAGCTATGAAGCTAGCAATCACCAAGTTACGGCGTGAAAGCATTGCGCTCAAGTTCCCTACAGGGTGATGCTCTTTAGTTCCTCTTTCCCTAAGGACCTCTACCTGATGCCCACTTGCACCAAATCTGAAGACACCCACAAGGAGCAGTTTTCATTCGACCAATTCGCGCCTCCCAAGAAGGAACTCTCTAGCACTCGTCTGGCTCCTTTGACCAACCAATGACTGGGAACCGAGAAGCTTTCACATGTGGCGCCTTGGTCTTATCCAGACCCCTAAACCCCGAGCACAAAAGCCCAAAGTCGCACCTGGCTAGTTTGGAGCTGGCTTGCGAGGTCAGCGAAACTCTTGTGCATACCTAGGTCTTCAACGAGAACATGTCCGGGTCATATAGATCCTCGTTTGGGGCATCAAGGAACAGGCTCCGCAGTTTGCTGGGGCTGGGGATTGGGAATGCTGCAACGCTTGGCATGCAGGCTTCAGGGGAAAAGGGGCTTCGTGTAGGCGGTGTCCACCTTTAAAGATGAGGTTTGAAGTTTTAGGGTATCTAGGCATCTAGGCTTCTGCCGCAGGGCTACTTGGAGGGAAATGGCCACGTCCTCATTTGGACGAACTGCACCCCAACAACTGTTGTTTAACACCGAACCCAGGCGCTCTGCGTTTGCTCCTCTGCGCTTGCCTGGAACTTTGAGTCCTCGCAGCAGGCTTGTTGTTTGCGGCCTTCGGGTCTCTCGCTTTTGCTGCTGGCGCATTCTACCTCAACCTCTTGTAGATAGCTCGCACCCCAAGTTACGGCGAGAAAGCGTTTCGCTCAAGTTTCCTAAAGCGTGATGCTCTTCAGTTCTTCTGACCCCAAGGACGTGTACCTGATGCCTACTCGCGCCAAATCACCGGCCGAAGACGCCCATGCAGAGCATTTTTCAGTCGCCCCGCACAAAAACCCAAAGTGGCACCTGGCTAGTTTGGAGCTGGCTTGCGAGGTCCGCGATGCTCTTGCGCATGCCTAGGTCTTCAATGAAAGTATGTCCAGGTTATGCAGTTTTGGGGATTATTTGGAGCTATCGAGGGAATAAGATACGGGGTGAATCGGATCATGCAGGGTTTGGTGTAAGGGTACCGAACCCCTTGACTGACTTAGGAGTCGTCTTAGAAATAATAACAGTACGATTCCCGTTTGGGCATCAAGGAGCAGGCCCAACAGTTCGCTGAGGCCAGGGATTGGGAATGCTGCAAGGCTTCAAGGAATCATGGGCTTCGCGTATACGGTGTCCAAGTTTCAGCATGAGGCTGGAGGCCTTGGGATATCTAGGCATGCAGGCTTCTGCTGCAGGGATAGTTCCAAATGCCCACATCCACACTTGCAACAGACCGACAACGTAAAACCTGAATCACCTCAACTGTTCTTTAACAGCGAACCCAGGCGCTCTGCGCTTGCTCCTCTGCATTTGCCTGGAACTTCGAATCCTCGCAGCAGGCTTGTTGTTTCGGACTTTCGGGTCTCCCCCTGCTTTTGCTACTGGTGCATTCGGGGACACTGCGCACGGGCAACTAGTCCGACATGACTCTTGGGGCTCTCCATGGCTCTCCTACATGCAGTTCGCAGAAGTCGAGCCGCATCAATTCCGCCAAAACTGAGTCAAGGGACCTGAATCTGTTTGCTGTAGCCTGTAGACTAAACAACGCGGGACCTCAATCCTGAAATCTTGAATGCCTTGGAACAAAGGGCAAGCTAGACACAGCATGCTACGCATGCTAAACCTTTGACAAACAAGTGTCGGAGGATGTCTTGCGAAGGTGTAGTTCGGTGCAAGTCTACCTTAACATCGCCTCTTCTAGCTATCAAGCTAGCAAACACCGACTTGCGGCATGAAAGCATTGCCCTCAAGTTCCCTACAGGTTGATGCTCTTTAGTTCCTCTTTCCCTAAGGACCTCTACCTGATGCCCACTTGCGCCAAATCTGAAGACACCCACAAGGAGCAGTTTTCATTCGACCAATTCGCGCCTCCCAAGAAGGAACTCTCTAGCACTCGTCTGGCTCCTTTGACCAACCAATGACTGGGAACCGAGAAGCTTTCACATGTGGCGCCTTGGTCTTATCCAGACCCCTAAACCCCGAGCACAAAAGCCCAAAGTCACACCTGGCTAGTTTGGAGCTGGCTTGCGAGGTCAGCGAAACTCTTGTGCATACCTAGGTCTTCAACGAGAACATGTCCGGGTCATATAGATCCCCGTTTGGGGGTGCAAGGAGCAGGCTCCGCAGTTTGCTGGGGCTAGGGGTTGGGAATGCTGCAAGGCTTCAAGGAATCATAGGCTTCGCGTACACGGTGTCCAAGTTTCAGCATGAGGCTGGAGGCCTTGGGGGTCCTTCTAGGCATCTAAACTTCTCCTGCAAGGCTGTTAGAGGGAAATGCCCAAATCACCACTTGCGCAAGCCGCCAACCTAAAACCTTAGTCACTTCAACTGTTCTTCACGTCGAACCCAGGCGCTCTGCACTTGCTCCTCTGCGCTTGCCTGGAACTTTGAATCCTTGCGCTGAGCAGGCTTGTCGTTTCGGGCTTTTGCTACTGGTGCATTCTGGGAGAATGCACATGGGCACCTAGCCCAAAACGATTCTTGGGGTTTCTCCCGCATGCAGGTCTCAGAAGCCCGGCCGCATCACCGATTTCCGCCAAGCCTTTGTTTGGCATGAATTCAAGTAATGCTGAGCCAAGGGACCTTCAGGGCAGTTTAAGAATCTGCTTGCTGTAGCCTGTAGGCTACAATGCCAGAAAACACGCAACCTCAACCCGAAATCTTGAAGGTCGTGAAGCCACATCGCATGCTAAACGTTGGACCGCACAGGTGTTGGAGGCTATCTTGCAAAGGTGTATTTCGGTGCAAGTCCAACCTCAACATCGCCTCTTCTGGCTTAGCAAACGCCAACTTGTGGCGTGAAAGCGTTGCGCTGAACTTCCCCACAAGTTGATCCTCTTTAATCTTTTGACCCAAAGGACCTCAACCTCCTACTTGCTCGTCCTAGATCCACCGGGCGAAGCCGCCAAAAAGGGGCACTTATCACCCGGCTGAAACCCTTTGGACCAACCAATGGGCCTGAAACCGTGAAGCTTTTCAAACGTGCCGCATTGGTCTTACCCAGGCACCAAGCCCTGAAACCTTCAAACTGACAGCCGGAACACGCAGCGCACAAACACAAAAACGGCCTTAGCTTGGAGATTGCTTTTGAGCTCAGTGAACTTCCTGTGCAGACCTCAGTCTTCAACTAAAACATGTCTCGGTTGAATCGATTCCCCTTTGGGGCGTCAAGGAAAAGGTTGTGCAGTTTGCTGGGGCTAGGAGTTGATAATGCTTGGCATGCCTCAGGGGCTTTGCGTATACGCCTTCCAGCTTCAAGCAAAGCATCTAGGCTTCTGCTTCAGGACTATTGGACGGAAATGCCCACATCGCCACCTGCAGCAACCCGTAAACCTAATCCTCATTCACCTCATCTGTTCTTTCACGTCGAACCCAGGCGCTCTGCACTTGCTCCTCTGCGCTTGCCTGGAACTTTGAGTCCTTGCCGAGGGCAGGCTTGTCGTTTCGGGCTTTTGGGTCTCCGCTTTTGCTGCTGGTGCATTCTACTCAACCCCTTCTAGCTGTCAAGCTAGAAAGCACCAACTTGCAGCGTGAAGGTGCAGCGGTCAAGTTGTCTACATTGTGATGGTTCATAGTTCGTATGAACCTAAGGACCCCAACTTCATGCCTGCTTGTGCCAAATCCTCTATTACCCAGCTGAGCCAACCTCTTTGGACCAACCAATGGGCCAGGAACCGTGAAGCTGCTCAAACGCGCCCCCTTTGTCTTACCCGAAGCTCTAGGCACAAATGCCCAACACTGCGCCTGTTGAGTTTTGAGCTGGTTTGCGAGGTCAAAGAAATTCCTCTGCATACCTGGGTCTTCAATCAGAACATGCCAGGGCCACATAGATTCCCCCGTTGGTGCGTCAAGGAGGCTTCAAGGACTCAGAGGCTTTGAATATAGACTTTCCAGCTTTCAGCATGAGGCTTGAGGTCTTGGGATATTTCGGCGTATGGGCTTCTGCTGCAGAGCTATTGGAGGGAAATGGCCACAAGCTCATTCGCAAGTAACTGAACTGTTCTTTAACACCCAACCCAGGCGCTCTGCTCTTGCTCCTCTGCGCTTGCCTGGAACTTTGAGTCCTTGCGGAGGGCAGGCTTGTCGTCTCAGGCTTTTGGGTCGCTTGCTTTTGCTACTGGTGCATGCAGGGAGACCTGGGGCAACTGCTTCGAAAGACTTCTGGGTGTTCTGGCGTTTGTGTCTCTCGCTTTTGCTACTGGTGCATATGGGGAGACTGCGCACGGGCAATTGCTCCGAAATTATTCTGGGGGTTTCTCTTGAAATCTCTTCTTTCTTGCTGAGTAATGCTGAGCCAAGGGACCTGCAGGGCAGTTTAAGAATCTGCCTGCTGTAGCCTGTAGACCCAAACCCAGATAAACGAAACTTCAACCCTGGCCAAGGACAAGTTAGATACGGCCCGTTATGCATACTAAACCTTTGACAAACAATTGTCGGAGGATGTCTTGCGAAGGTGTCGTTCGGCGCAAGTCTACCTCAACATAGCTTCTTCTAGCTATCAAGCTGGCAAACACCAACTTACGACGTGAAAGCGTTGCGCTCAACTTCCCCACAACTTCGTGCTCTAAAATCTTGGTGACCCTAAAACCCTACTCGCGCCAAATCCACGAAGCCGCCAAAAGCGGAACTTTTCCTCTGCTCAACTCAAGCCCTTCAAGATTGTAAAATCTATCACCTTGCCGAAGCCGTTTGGACCAAGCAATGGGCCGGAAACCGTGAAGCTTTTCAAACGTGCGTGCCGCCTTGGTCGTACCAAAACCACAAGCCCTGAGACCTTCAAACTTACAGTTGGAACACGCATCATGCAGGCACAACACGCCTGGATGTTCTTCCAGCTCGTGAGTTCATTAACTTGCGCTTGCAGACCTTGGTCTTGGGGAATCACCAAAGGGAAGGGGGCTTGATCCCAGACTTATCACCTGTCGAATATGCTTCATTTTCTGTGTAGTCAATGCCCTTGGCCATGTGTAAGGTCTACAAGTCTGCACGCTCATGTTGCAGGGTCGTAGATCAAAATTTGGGTTGGGGTTGAGATCTGGAATTGAAGGCTTCGGCGCCGCTTGATTGAATGCTCATAGAAACAGGCCAGGGGACTCTGCAAGGCTTGCATGACCTCGGACCGCAATTCCGCCCCAACGGTGGAGTCCTCCGAGATGACGGCTGCTGGGGCCAATGTAAGGGGTATAAGGGGGAGTTGAAGTTAAATGTGGGATTAGAGGTGGGTCAAGTTGTCTATATATATATATATGTATATGTTTTTATGTGTATATATATATATACATAGAGGGATATATTGGGTAGAGGGGATACTCTTGGTCATCACCAAGGCTTCTGTATGAGCTTCTCGTCAAGGTTTGGGCTGAGGGTTTGGGATCGTCGTTCTGGTAATGTCTAGACTTGGAAAGACAGAATCCGAGAAGAAATGGGTGCGTGATTCAAGCTTGAGATATCATCAGCATTCGAGTTGCAAGTACATTCAGCCGCACCTGTGTCTGACACAGGCAGTCGTCGTCTTAGGGCCATGCCGGCGTGTCTATCTGAACTTCAACAATACCTTGCTAGGATAGCGGCTGTACACCACGGCAAGCCTCACTTTTGCCAGTTCAAAGCTTGCAGAATACAGCAAATTTGGGGAGTTTCTCAAAGGGAAGCTCCCCATGCAGTGCCGAGTAGGGACCGTCAATCAATCCCCCTTTTTCAGAAATCCTAAAGAAGGTCCTAGCACGTAAAGCCGTAACCTTGAACTCCTTCCTTGAGGTTTTGATGCCAAGCCAAGACCGATGTAAGGCTTTCCGCGGAAAACGGAACCTGAAATCCTTCACGGGCGGAGGGCTGCTTGCAAATGTGGTTGAAGCACCAAAGCTGTCAAGCCATCATGAAAACAGCTGTCCTTCACATGATCTTCTACTGTAGAAGCCTGATTACTTGCCAATATTATCCCAGTTCGCCCTTGCATAACTCTTGCATAATATGTCCCCAAACCCTAAATTGTTGGACCCCTACCTTACCCTACCTTTTAATAACCCCTACATAGCCCCAGCTGTCGCTTCATTTTCCTTTTGACCCTCCACTACTCACTGCTTCAGCCTACAAACCTCAAACAAAACTCTATTTATTTCTTGTGCAGTAGTGTGGGGTCTGGGCTAGCTTGGCTCGGCTCAGCTGAGGCTGTTCCGCAACGTTTTACAGAAAACCGATCCAGGTAGGGACATCCACAAGTTCTGGGTCCTTCTGTCTTGGGTGTCCCCGTATCAAGGGTTACAACATGCTGGGGTGCATGGGGGACTCCCATTGCTCTTTTTGGAAGCTGCCCTGCTTTGCCCGAGACTGCCAGATACCCATGTCTGTATCATGGGACCCTTCCTCAGGGCTGAAGCGGCTCCTGCATTGCAGACTCGCTCAGAATGCTACGGACCTTGGTCTCGATACCTTAGTCTTGAATCTGAGAGTTGCCAAAGCTGGGTTTAGGGTTTAGGGATTCGGGTTCCAGGTCTAGGGGTATCTTTTGTAGCCCTCTGTTGCTGCTGATGTTATCAGCAATGTTGCTGCTACTTCTGTCACAGCACTAGTATGACTTCTCTGCTAGGCATACAGGGGATCTCGCCTGCAAACCTGTGGGAGAACGTGGCCAGATGGGATTCAATCTTTCGAATCAGATCTTGGCAAATTTGGATTCAGTCGAGCCGATTCTTCGTTCGCTAACCTTTCTTCCGTGCGATGTTGCATCACAGGTTCTGGGCCTGACGCGCGCCAAAAAGGGTTCAAACCGTTGAGGGTGAAGGCTCCACTCCCTTTGAAAATCATGGGGTTTGGGGTTGAGGTTTCGGAAGATTAGCATGAAATGGTTTAACCAGGGTTCTGGTCAGGCCTTTGGAGGGTTTGGAAGGGTTCCACTGGCAATAAATGACCCAGGGTGGTATACAGGTCCAGGAGGAAGGGCTTCTTTGGGATTTGGGTGAGTAGCAGGCTTCCTGTTCCTAAGAAGACTGTCATTCCCTAAAACAGCCTCTTGGTTTGCATGACACGAAAGGGCTTAAAGGGCTCTATGGGTTGGAGAAATTCTCAGGTCCTGGGCTCCTTCTTTTCTCTTGAATCTAAAGCAGACTTGTTTCATCCGGGTTTTTTCTCTATACGTTTTACAAATAAGGAGGAATCTTCGATCCTGGGCTTTTGATACAGAAAATCACAGATTCCTGGATTCATGGTTTTTGGCTCGGTCCCGAACCGTCCTCCATTAATTTCAAGTTTCAATTGCGATTTCCAAGACCATCCCGGAATCCTGGAATCCTGAATCAAAAAATCAAGAAACATTGGAAGACACAAAAAAGCTGTCGTTGTTTGATTTTACCTGTTTTTTTCTTCATACTTTTCGGGTTTCCAGAACAACCATTATGTCTTGTGGAGACTTCCATTAAAACGAAAAAAAACCCAAGTTTTGGGGTACTGCAAATGCGGGAAAAGGTGTTTATCTGTTTCTTCTGAAAATTCTAAAGCACCGCCGTATGTTGTGTGATTTCCGTGAAGTTCCACGACAAGCAAAGGCCTCTTGTTTTGTTTTGTAATCGAGATTATTCCAAAACCACAATTTCTTCTATTGCTGCGAAGAGTCAAGAATTCAAACACAATTTTTTTGGGCGGGGGCGGGATGGGATGTATGTGAGAATTAGGAAATATAATTCCTGTAAGTTTGATTCAATCATTCAAAATGGCAGGTTAGTGGATTTCTGATTTCCAGCTTAATCCTGGCCCGTATGAGGCGATCCTTATGTATTTCGTTAGAGTCTAACACAGAAACCTGGATCCCCGAATTCGCAATTTTTGGCTGTGAATCCTCTATTACATGCTACGTAGAACTTGTCAAATAATCCTGGGTTCACGGGTTCCTAGCTTTCAATGATGAAAAGCTTCCGACATCCCAACCGTGTGATTCGTTGAGACCTAAACTTTTAACTCGGGTCGGTTGGTACTCCATCAACAAAAACTAGGCCATGGAACGAACCCTGACAGCCACGTGATTTACAGTATTTTCATGGTCTCGATGGGTGGGATGATGGGGAAAATATTGGCAGGAGGTTTGTTGCGGCGCAGGGCGGAATACCCCGAACCTCTGTTGGAGACTGCAACACATGAAGGGTGTTATTGTTGTGGTTGAACTAAGTTTATGTTCTTCTTACTAAAGACGATAGCCGAAAGGATAGCATGCTCTTACTATACTACTATATAATCAAGACTGTAGTATCGTTATTCGGAGTACTACTCAAGCGACCAAGTCGCGCGACGGCTGCTGCTCAACCATGTAGGCCTGGGGGAGGACCAGTTTGCAGGATAATTGAAAACCGGGCCGCCAAAATGAGACAATGACCGTGGTAGCAAAGAAGCAGGGGTCGCGTTCGTAGAAATTCCCAAGACCTCTTACCAGCAAATTCTAGCCCTCGGAGTGCTAAACTACAACAGGGATCCTTGACGATGAAGAAGCGGGCCAGGAGCTAATTAAGCAAGGATCTGCGTAAACTTCTCTAACAGTGGCCTTGTTTGCACAAAATGCCCAATTTACAGGCCCAAGCTTCAATGCAACGGTTCCTCATGTCATCAAACAATCATACAATCAAGCTTGTAAAAGACATTCCAGTCTCGCAGCATAGGCCTCGTCGACGGTTTCGCAACAATGAGGCCACTTTCAGGACTCGCAGACTCCAAAAAGGTAGTTAATGATAATACAGAACCTCTGCCGCGCAAGCTTGCCAGGATTCAGGGAGCAAAAGCTTTGTTTTTCCGCTTCTCGTCTTTGGCCCACTACTTATTTTACTAATCCTCTGCATGGTATGTTGTCTGAGTTGAAACTTGGGTGGTCACTGCCACTTATATCACGGATACTTGTCGATATTGCTTGCGCCATCTTGCGCCACTACTGAAGTTTTCCCCGATCCAGACGGTCCCTCTTTACCTCCCCAGCAAGACGATCTGGAGTGCTCTTGTGAGGCACGCACGTTCATTCACTACAACGACGAAGTTCTGAGAGGAGCAAGGGGTGGGGAGGCTTGCGTAAGGACGCGGTCAGCAAGGTTTGCCTGGGGAGCCTTAACCTGGGCAACTAATGAATCAGTGGCCAGCCCAGGAAAACTTTTTCTTTTCCTGATGCAAAATCTCTGAAGCTGTCATCCATGCGGAGTCAAAACCCATCAAAATCCTCCATGTCTGCTTAAATGGAACCGGTGGCACACCCAGCGCTGACCGCGTTCCATCTGATCTTCACATTCAAAAACTGACAATTCAACATTGCACCCGTATTTGCAGCTGGTTCACGATGCTGCTTTCTACGCCTTGGTCTGAACTTGCAGATTGATCAGAGCTTCCACATGTCCACGCAGCGCTTTCTGATCAGAGGTGATGCAGCGTCTACTTCTGCAACAGCTGACTGGAATCTTATGGCGTAACGTTCAATGCAATTGAAGCTGGAGTGGGTGCAGAAAGCATCAAACTATGGGGCTGCCCACATTGCAACAAAAGTAAGAGCGAAGTATGAGCCGATTTTGGGTGCTTTGCTTGTCCTCCAGCTCAAAAGGACCGCTGCAGGGTGAGAAAGAGCTACATGTGGGCAACCCATGCTGTGGGTATTTGATTCATGCCCCTATTTTTTGTGATTTGCCATGCCCTGCCTACAAAATTCACCCCCTTCTCCTGGTACAAGCTCTATCAGCAGGAAGGTTCCGAAACGAATCGGGAACTACGAACTTGAAATGGGTTGGAACCCAAGCCATGGGAACCTCTCCGTTGCCAGAACCCTAGCTCTCTTAGAAGTGTTGGGGCGCTGCGACAAGCTGAAGTGCGAGACCTCAATCCATCCGTAGTCAAACAAGATGGTCCTGACCCCAAGAAACAATGAAGCTCAATTGTTGACAAGATCTGAGGTGCAGAGTTCATACACAGGTTGAGCTTTCCCAGCTGAAGAGGCCTGTAGGGGTTTGAGGGTTGGGAGCTTACTGCTTAGGATGCTCTGGAATTCGCCAACAAAATTGGGCTTGAGGATGAGGAGGGGTGTATGGCTCTTCAAATAGGCCACTGCAAGGACCAACATTTTGGAAACACGGACCAAGGTGCCCTGCAATCGATGCCAAAGCTTCTGCTCCTCCCGGAGGAAGGTGTGGGGTTTAGGGTTAGAGGTTCAGCTTGCAAAGGCTCGGTCTGGAAAGCTGGTCCACGATAAATGCCGGACTAGATAACTACAGATGCTACATGTGTGTAACTAAGTACTTACATGCCATCCTACAAAGAATGACCAAAACAAAACGGAGAACCAAAGCACTTCGGCCTGGGACGCTGGCATGCATTGAGTTCGGAGCAGCTTAGGGTCCCTAAGCTAAAGACCCTCAGCCTGAACATGAGACGATGTTCCACGCAGGCTTGGACCTGCTGTGCTGTGTAGGGCTTCGGCTTTGGGCTTTGGTGCGAAGTGTCAAGGGCTTGCGGCCAATGCAGCTAGGGCCTTGACAATTTGTGGAAGTGGCTGCTGACACTTGCAGGTTGAGGTATAGGAGCGGTGAGGGCAAAAAGGAGGTCCGTACAGTGTGTGATCCCTGGTCTTGTTTATGACCTCCCCTCAATCGTAGACACAACCTGCCACAAACCTGACCTTGTGTGATGTCATTGTGGAAGCTGCAAAGGGAACTCTTGCGTACAGTAACCTGCAGCCACCTAAAAGCCTAACTACTCCTGAGCCCACGGATTTGAAAGAGCCCCCTCGACATCCGATCTGGAGACCAGGCATTCCATGGTTTTAGGCATCTTTTGAGGCCCCCCACTTGCAACCTCCCTGCAGCAATGGCTCTGAGAAGTGTGACGCGATTTTGGCTGAATTGCCACGGAATACTTGTGTTCAACTGGCCGCTTACGATGTCACGTAGTGCTCTGCGTTCTGTTTGGGAGCAAACGCCCAGCTAGGGTTGAAAGAGCAAGCAGATGTCTGTTGCATCAATGTGTTAATCCCATCATCCCTACAACGCTCCAAACCACGCTCCTCCGACTGCATTGCCTCAATCGACTGGGCAGCCTGCGCGAGCCGGTCCTTCATGTTGGTCCCTGTATGATCATCATAGAATATAGCTTCAGCAGAATTTCCCCAACATGCTGTTCTGATTCAGGAATTTGCGTTTCAGATTTTGAGGCTTGCGCCCAGCAGGATCAATCTGTCAGGATGGTGCTTGCTACCATTTTTTGAGATGGCGCGTGCACGAACAAAATGTTTAAATGAATCCGGCTACCGTTTTAGTCATTACAGAAGTTTGGCTAGCACTTCCAGTATTCTGTGCCTGACTCGGATACATGGGGACACATCGTCAAACGCTGAGATCTGAATGCGAGGCCGCTCATACGTCTAGAGGCGGCCACTACAACCATGTGCTTAGAGTAAGATCTCTCGAGCTGTGTGCTACAGGTCAACATGCGACGTTTTTGATTGAATACAGCATTGCATACTTGTTGCAATGCTCATACTATGTTTTCCTCGAAGTCGCATTCAATCTTCAGATAACCAGGCTGGTTCTCTTGCATCCGGATCATGACGAGTCTGGATGTCTTAAAAATGCAGTCAGACTTGGGGTCTGATGCAGTGCGTCACATCTGTCTAAGATGCGTTTGCTGGTACTGTGACTTATTCAAACGTATTTTGCAAAGTTCACCTCCTTTTCTATCGCTCACAGGGTTTGTGACTTCCGCGGCTATAGGTTTGAAAATGACTACAAGCTCACGGTGATCCTGTTGCAGAGTCACGTAGAGTCGGGACTGTGTTTATGGCTGTTGATTTGATGATCAATGTTTATGCATCGGTGCACTTCGAAGTGTACAGCTTCTGGTGACATAGAGCAATGAATTTTGCATGAGGATTTTCGGCATTCAACTATGGGACTTGCCCGACCAGGTAGGCACGAATGTTTCAGGTTGCAGTTTCACTAGAATCTAGGGGCTCGAGATGGAACTTGGTATACAGGCGGTAAATTAAGTACGTACGAGATATTCGCTGTATAGGGTAATGGGATTAAGAGGGGTCCCTCCTAATTACCCTGAAGGTGATCTGTATTGCTTGTCTTGAGGCTACTCGGAACCATCCTTGGCTGGGATTCATGGTCCCCAGGAGCCGGAAGAAGGGCTTATGTAGGGCTTATGTAGGCCTTATATGGGGATAATGGAAAAGAAAATGGAAGCTACTGTTTAGGGTTCAGGGTCTAGGTGACTTGTAAAGGGTAATCGTGACATATAATAGTCTTCGTTCGATTTTCCATTGATGTTACAGTCTTGGGGTAACTCTAGATCGCCACACCCCAACGGACCCAGGCTTCTTATCTGGGTACATTACTGCGAAATGACGGCATCGCAACATGCCCTAAACCCTAATCCCTAAACGTTAAATCTCAAACCCTGAAGCCTATAGGGCTGAGGGTTTGGGGATACTGGAATGCACCACCTCTCAACAGAGGAATTGGGAGGAGCATGGCGAAATTGATTAGGTGCCAATGAACGACAAATTATTACAAGAGCTGTTCAATTCTATGAGGCCGCTTCTCTCGAAATCGCACCCCTCAGCAGTTTCCAAGAACGTCATAATTGCGTGCCAAGTAAATTCACCCCGCTCCCCCTCAAGCACCAGTAAGTAGTGGGAGCGGTCCTTCATCTCGCGAACTTCCTGTCACATCAGAATGGATTTTGAGGTGGAGGGAACACTCCAACTCCCCTTAGAGGTTGAATTACATGGCATGCTGGGTCAGAAAAGGGACCTACAAGGCCAGTAGACTAAATTCAAGATTTCAAGCCCGAGATAGACCTCATGCACTTACAGGCCCTTAAGCGGTTCAGCGCCTTCTTCACGAATTCCAGGTATGCAAACTTCCGAAATGAAACGCCCCAAACGCGGGCGCCCTCTGCTGGGTCCTCACTTCAGTCTTTTTAGTTAGCTTCACAGGGCCGGGGTAAGACTAGCATGCCACAACCGAATCCTGCCTCAAAAACGTAAGGCTTGAAGCCAGGAAGCAACTCTGCCACTTGACACACTTGGTGCAAACTATAATTCTAAGAACCCGGCGGCAACATTTCATAGGATTCAACCATTTTGGGTAGTTGAAGGATTCCCAGGCCATCAACTCGGAATGCGCAGGCCCAAATCTCAGCATACAGCGACGAATGCCAAAAGTCAGATGTAAAAGTCATCTAGGACATGTCCCCGAAATATAGAACATGAGTGAACCTGCATCATAGGAAAGACCGGTAGGCTCAGAAACTATTGGGGGCTCTGGGAAGGAGATGGAGGCACCACCAGTGCTTCAAAGAACAGCAGGTCAGCCAACCTCTTGGACAACGGATGAGACTTCCCCTGACTCCATACTTGATACCCTAATCGCTACCCTAATCGCTCCCCTAGCGTGAAACATCCCCCACCCTTACAGGAATCTTGCCTCGCAATGCATTGCATCTCTTGCAGGGAGCATTTAATACAGGGGGCGGTGGAGGATGTTTGATGTAAATCCGTAGAGTAGGTTGGGAAACAGACTGAGGCTGAAATGCGCTGTACCTTCAATGGCAACAGCAACAGATCGTTCTACTGCTGTGGTACGCGTAGGCAGCGATATGCTTTTATCAATCTTATGACTTGTACCCCCAATCAAACGTCCGGTACCCCTCAAAGCCCCAACATGACATGCGGCTCCTCAGCCACCGGCACAAGCGAATAGCTTTCGATGGGTTTAGGGCCAGTTTCCTGGTAGGAGCTCGAGAAAGATCACTCTACTGGGGCATTGCGGGAACCTGGATAATTGTAAGCCCTTTAGCTGGCCTAACGTGGTGGATTTGCATGTTTACAGGGTGAGACTCCAAGTGGCTTCACTACTTTGATGGTGACGTGACTAGTCGGGGATGGGGTTTCGGCTTAAGGCTACAGGGGAGCTCTGGGTTGAATAGAGTGCGGCTCCTCTTGGACAAGGGCTTGAAGGACTCTGCCACTCATCATGTGGGTTCTCGGTCGCGAAGTTTTGCACAGCGAAATACTAAAACTGCTTAATGTTAATCAACTGTGTGAAAAGGAAGGGGTCTTCTTCTTTCGAGGGTTCATGCAGCACAAGCCTTTGACAAAGCGGTATAGCTTCAAGTGTCATCTGGAAGCTAAAGCATTCAGGATGTTTCTTTGCTGCATGATCCTCCCGCACAGGCTCAGTAGATGATTCCAAGCATTCATCCCCGTACAGTAGAGGAGCTAGTGTGTCGATTCGCAGGCAGTTGTATTGGTACCCAGTAGGATTTGTGTTTGTGGCCCCGCCGCATGGAGACCCCGTATGCACTCAACAATATTTCTGAGTACCCTCCCTCTGCACACTCAACTCAAACCATACCTTAAACAGTAAAACCACAACAACACCTGTATGTGGGGCTCAAATCATGTTGCCCTGATTACATATTGAGATGCAACCGAAACCTGCCGCAGCCCCAGCGCCCGAATGGAAGAGCCAGAGAGGTTGCTCCAGGTGTAGGGTTTGGGTTTGTTTGGGGATCTCCATAATAGGGAGACTACCGTTCAAAAAGCACTACGTCTTTCCGGGTGCATTAAGCCTCTTGTGCTCCGGAAAGCCCCAGGCAAGACGACGTCAGACCCTTAATGATCTCAAGCTCCCAACAAGAGTAAACCCAAAGCCTGCTCCCCACAGGTGACCCTCTTGCAACTTGGAACTTGAGAACTGTTGCCATTGCCATTCTTTGTCATTATTACTTGCATTATTCCGACTTGGCCTGCTTGTTGAGGCTGTTGAGACGGCTAGCTTCTAGAAACTGATAAGGAAGACAGAAGTCATTCATCTGCATGGGCCAGTACGCTGTAGGCGTTGTTGTGTTGCAGCCTTCTGCGGCCCACCGCAGAACCGTGAAAGGACCAAAATGCTAAAACAACACATATTCTCGTAGCCAACCCGTTCCCTAAACGTTAACTGCCTTCCCCCATCTACTCCAAACACTTGGCAGAGATCCGCGGCAGCGGGCTTGGGCCGGATTTCGCCCAGGCGGTTGAACTCCTCAGATGGAAGCTTTTTTGGTAGGCCGCATCCGCAATTCATGCGGGTGATAGGTATCGCCCTAGCTGAATCTGTGGTATTCATTACTACAGGGCCCCCAAAAATGAACGAAAGCTTTTGGAAACTCTCGTGTTCAAAGTGGATTTTGACTGCAGGCTTACTGCGCAGCCACAGCTGCAAGAAAGTGGTTCAGTATCCAAGTAAGGAATGGGTTTCATGTTTGGTACTTTCCCTGAATTGGGAGACCTTACTTGATATACCCCAAAATACTATAATCCTCAGTCTAGGGACGTCCAAGAGGACCCCTGATTCCCCATTTAGGGTCGGGGGTTCAAGATGCATGGCCTTCTGGCGGGCCCAGGCCAAACGCGAGGGCCGACAACACACGCCCCTTCTACAAGCACACGCCAACCAAGGACTCAGGCCATGAGAACTTTGCGATTTGTGTTTAAAGTCTGAGGTGTTGCACACCCATCAATAGGACTTGCAATGTGGAGGGCTAATCGCGGCGACCGAATCTAAGACTAATCCTAGACCTGAAGCCTATCGAGTCCATTCAGCAATCCAAGACCATTCAATCTTTTCATGCGGGCCAATGGCTTGGTCTTCAAGGACTAAGGGTTGGGGAGGTCAAGGCAGGGAGCGCCAGAGGCTAAAGCATCTTAAGAACCCGCTGCGCGCCTATCACTCGGAGTAATTTAGATGTACTTCCTTTCAGAGCCCTTTTGTCAGATCTTTTGCAGTGCTGCTTCTATCATTGCATGGCCAGCATAAGACTGGATTCCCTCTCAACGCTACGCCTGGGCTGAACACACCACCAAAAGCATCTAACGCTGCCTCCCCTCCTTCGCTAACATGTGCTAGAAATTACGGTTAAGCTTAGCTGAGGACAAGGCGTGGCGGGGTGGAGCTTGGGGTGGTTTGGCTGCTTCGCGGCCAGCAAGTAGAAGTCAAACCATGCACCCCAAATCTCAGCCACCCTTGGACAAGTCACAGCCTCTCAGCCCCTCTACATGGAAATCGGCTGAGCGTCTAGCTCGATCTGGTACTGGTACTCATGGAGATCAGTCCCCAGAAAGGTGCGGTTCTTTACACCATTCTGCCCATCAACGCCAAAGTCCTCCCATTCCAGTTCATATCCTGGAGTACCAAGCTTGATTCGCATTTTCACGATCCTTGGCGGGAAGGCCAGTTTGCCAGGGTTTTTGCGCTAATTCAACGGCATGTGCACCCAGGAGAATCACGTGGAATAACCTTGTGGTACTTGGGATCTGGAGGACTCGGGCAACCTGTTGACCCGGCATAAATTACTCCTACCTTCAGTCTATCCAGCGTGCTCACAAGAGCTCCTCGTTTGAGTCGGACCGCGCTGTTACATTGCAGAATGGTTGGTGCTAATTGCAAGCAACCGTAGCTCTTGAATTCCCGCAGGAACGATCGCCATTTGAAACGGATTGTTTTGCATGGCACCCTCAAGACGCAACATCCCAGGCCTATGCAGTTTTGGATATTGCACCTCCAGCCACACGTTCCCAAGCCCCTCCCCAGAAAGTGCCATGCTCATCCCTACTGGTAGCCCGCCTTTTGAAGCTCGCAGCCTCTCAAATTGCAACCGTAAGCTCCCAAATCTCTCGCGTCTGAAATCCTGAAGCCCGGGCTATCATTTGCGTGCCAAGACCCCAAAATCCGCCAAGGCACTTGAACTCGTATCTTTTGTTGGGGTTGAGAGGCACCTCGCGAGCTTCGTGTTTGCCACGCTGAGACAAGCAAGGTGACAATCCCTTCCCCTAGTATGAAACGCTTCCCGCCGTGTCACGGGATAATTCCCAATGTCAGCCAAGTGTATGTTGGGGTATGAGCAACATGCGATGGAGTGTGCACAGCAAAATGGAAATCCTGGAGACCTACTTTGGACAGCAAAGCTGGACAACTGAAATCCGAGCAAATAAGACCGGCAACAGCAAAGCTGCAATAATAGTATAAGGTCTCGCACTGGAACAAAGGTTCGGGAACAACAAAGCCCCTTGAATCGGACCATGTTTTGGCAGTGAGTACCCGGACATTGAAGTAGTGATGTGTTCTTTCGGGGACATGCAGGGAGTACAAATGGATTACGGCAGTCCATGCAGGATGATATCGGGATCATATTAGACTCCGCTATTACATGAGGCCGCGAGCCTGTCCAAGCCTACACAGGCACACGTTGCGTGCGCTTCGTGTCACCTAGGGCTCACCTAAGCAACAGATTGAGATGTTCAAAGCGCAGGCCATTAGAGGCGCACAAGGAATAAGCCTGACCTTCGGTAAGCTATGGCATTGTTGAACAGACGCTGGAGCTCTCCTGCCACCTTATCCCACCCATCCCCACAGAAGCCATCACCAACAGCCTAAGGTAAACCAATATAGCAACTTGGGCATCGGAGCTGTCAAGGCATGCAAAGGGCTGAGAGCGAATCCTCGAGCCTTTTTTTCCAAGCTTCTTCGGCTCTAGCTAAAGAGTCTGGGATGTTTGGCTTCAGAAAGTAGGTTTCATACCCATCGTTTGCCGCGCTTTGCGGCTAGAAAGTGTAGATTTCATTGGCCAGCGCACGGGATTTGCATGCCAGGTGACGGAA